CAATACAAAAAAATACCAAGAAATAAACCTGATAACATACCTTCGGTCTTCTGAGAAAATCGTTTCTTCTGAGCATTGACACGAGTTATCAGGCGCCAGACATGCGAGTATTCTTCCACAAACGACTTTCTCTCCTTTATAACAATACCTTGGGGTCTGCTGATTCTTCGTAGCACTGGCGTTAATTTTCTTACCAAATTGAATTTTCTTTTGCACAAGTCTTCGACGCTAGTGAACTTCAACATTGCGAGTGTCTTTCTTCTTTAGCTTTTGCATCATATGTCCTCTCCCTTTAGATGAAGTATCAAAAACATAGTCTCCATCTTTCTCTTTCGCCATCGGGAAGAAGATTGATTTTTCTTAATTTTGATTCAAAAAAATTAGGGTTCACTGAGGAATAAAATTGGCTTCTGCAATTTTTGGTTTTTCAAGATGCGTCTGTAGGTTGTTTGTTTTGGGAGAAGGAACCAACATACCTTTTTTTTATTTGAGATAATTAACTATTAAATTATGGTGGAATTAAAATATTAAAAAATTTGTAAATCNTTTTTTTCCAAACATCAATCAAACTTATATAGTTATATTAAAAACTCAAGAGAATGTACCGTACACGAGTAATCAACTGATTACAGTCCCAACACATAGCCGAAGCTAAGAAAAACTGAGGAACGAGGGAAAAAACATTAATCCCTCTTCCAGACCTGCTGAGCTAACTACAAGGCCGCATAACACCTAGAACCATTAAAAAAAACACACAGAAGATACAAAAGAGTTCAATAGAAAACTAACATCAAACAGAATGGGTGTTACAGCCGACGAGAGGGTGATTGGGAGGTTATCAGATTAACAGTATTGAGGGAGTCCAAGCAACAGGTGAGGGCTTTGCCACGATGATCATTATGTAAGGACAGCTGCATAAGACACCATTTGAAGGCCAACAAGTTAGCCGACTCTTGACATCTTGCATTGTCTAGCACTGTCGCCCAAGAAAAAACCTGCTGGCCCATTTCAAACCCAATGCAGCCTACCCCAACTGAACCAGTCTTCGATAAACAGGCACTGACACTTATAGAAAGATGCCCTACCCTTACCTCAGCCTCATTCTGAACAGGAGCAATGTTGTGAGTATTTGAAGTAGATGTGCACAGTGGTTGGTCATCTTTCAGGGATGATGAGGTGAACTCTAGCTAATCCCTTCTTGCCAAATCAGCCACTGTCTTTTCATCCACCCACTTACCTTCAAACATCCATGTGTTGCAAGTTCTCCACAGCCACCATAAAAGGTATGTGGAAAGACTTATTCTGTCTGGAAGTTGGCATTCTTTGCTCTTTCTACAGATATTCAGCCACTAGTGTTGGAAGTTGCAGTTTGCATCAGAGAGGATGTTCTATTGAATCCCAAGGAGTTTCCAGCAGGTTTTGGCCCTTGGGCATTTGAAGAGCATATGAGTGAGGTCTTCCTTCTGTTCACCACAGAGTTTGCAGTGGACATCCACATCCATTCTTCTGTGCAGCAGATTTATGTTTGTGTTCAAGAAGTTATTCCAGCATCTCCAAATGAAGGTTTTCAGTTTTTCTGCAATGGGGAGCTTCCAGGTTGTAATCCACATGTTCTCCAGTAATGGTTGACCTGAGCAAGAGCCTGTATCCACAGATTGTTGATTCTGAAAATTTAGGATTGAGTTATAGACCCCTTTGATAGTTAGCAGACCTTTGGGGTGCCAATGCCAAATTTATCTATCCTTCATCCCACAACTACTAATGTGAATATTTAGAATCTGATTAGCCACATAAGGATTGGAAGTTTGATTAACCAGCTCAACATCTGATTACCCTCTCTAACCATCAAATCCTTTACCCAAATTAAATTGTGCCTATCAATATTAAAATGACAAAAGGTTTAAAAGTTGACTGGTTATGGAGCCAATGAGAATCCCAAATATTAATGGATTTCCCATCACCAACCTGATATCTAAGGCCTAGTTGAAGAGACTTCCTGGCTGCTAACCAGCTCTTCCACAGCCAGGAGTCCCCACTTCTAGACTGGACTTCAAAAATATCCTTGCCCCAAAAGTATTTCCCTTTAATGACCTCACTCTAGAGATACCATTCAACTTCCTACAAATGGAGTCTTTGGTTTGAAGAGGTGTGTTTTTAGAGAAGAAGATGGAGGATTTTTCAAGGTTAACAACTTGGCCTGAAGAGAGACCATAGTCATTAAGGATGCCAAGGATTAGGTCAGCATGAAAGTCATCAGCCTGACATAATAGAATTGTATCATTTGCAAAAAAGAGGTGAGAGACAATAGGGGAATTTCTGGCAATCCTAAGACCTTTAAAACCATGATTCAGACAAGCTTGGTTAATAAGATTGGAAAAAGCTTCTGTAATGATGATGAACATATACGGAGGCAGGGGATCACCTTGTCTCAGACTCCTAGTGGGCTGCAAATAACCAAGAGCATGACCATTGATATTAAAGGAAAATGATGAAGTGCACACACATGCCATAACCCAAGAGATGAAAAGATGAGAGAACCCCATTTTTTTGCGGATTTTAACAATGAAACCCCATTCTACCCTATCAAATGCTTTGGACATGTCAAGTTTAATAGCCATAACATGATTTTTACCAGTTCTTTTGCTATTTAAATGATGAATGCATTCATTAGCCAGGATAACTGTAATGCCCCGTTGAATTATGTTGGGAATTATTATTTATTATTATTATTATTATTATTATTATTATTATTATTATTATTATTATTATTATTATTATTATTTATTTGTTGTTATTATTATTTGTTGAATGCTAAAATTATTTAAATGTCTAAAATGATTTATTTGTCAAAATGTATTATTTGCCTAATTGTTTAAATGTTATTTTTATCTAATTAAACTAGTGTATACCCCGTGCGATGCACCGGAACAATATTAAATTAACAATATTATAAATAGACTTCGAGTTTGTGTCACTCAATGGCGGAAGTGGAAACTACTATTGATCCTATTTTAAATGAAGAAGAAAAAAGGATAATTATAAATTAAAGAGGAGGATAAACAATACTTAATAATTATAAATTAAAGATTCGGGGTCAAACAATGTAAAATTATTTTGTATAAGAGAATATAAAAAAAATTGATTACACACCATTTCAAAATTATTATTATACTTTTTTGTATGGTTAGCTTATAATTTGTAAAAATATTAGTAATTAGACCGATGAAAATTAGCTTCTTAAAGTGATAATAGATTTCTAGTAGTAATTATGTATTGGTTTCTATTTTATTTTATTTTTTCTTTTAAAAGATAATAGAGTTCTAGTAGTAATTATGAATTGATTTTTATTTTATTTTATTTTTTCAAATCTATCATTATATTAAAAGATTAACCATTTAACACTTTTAGCAAGCTTTTCCCGCCAAATACATTTAATGTCTCCTAAAAATAGATTAGCATTAAATGTTGCCCTTAAATCATGGCAGTTGTTAATTTAGTTTGGAGAAAATCGTGGCAACTAAAACAAACAACATTAATTACGGCTGATTTAATATTTAAATGGTAAACAAATATTACTTTTTTATGACTGATTTAAATTTACGTCTGTTTAAAAGTAAAAACTACTTTTGTAATTTCAACAAATTTGTACTCTTTAATGTACGACTGATTTAAAATTAAGAATTTACTTTTGTATTTTCACAAAAAATCGTATAAAGAAGTATGGCTGGAATAATAATAAAAAATTAATTTGTTAAACCATATTTTGCACTAATAGATACGAATTCTCATCAAATTCAAGATTTAAAATTGTGAAGAATGTATATAGATGTGAACTGATTGAAGATATATGATTCCTTAAATTAAGGAATTTTTTTCGGGAAAAAAAATATAAACTTTAAATATAGATTTTATTAGTAGTGTATACCAAAGAATATTGTTACATTTAAAATTTCTATGAAGAAGAATTCTATTAATTTTCAAATTCAAAATCTCATAAAAATAATATAATACACTTTTACATTCTATGAAACAATATTTTAAACCCACCGTTCAACATACATAAAATGTAAAATTACCTAACATGAATCATTTTAACTTTCTAAAATCAGTACACAATTTGCTCGGTATGTACTAATAGTCTATAGTTAAGAGTTAATATTTTCTATGACATCTATTGGTTGGAATGAATTCCATTTTGTATGGAATTCGAAATAAAAAAACATATTCTGAAAATCAAATCTAATTTAGAGATCGATTTCTTAATGGCCTTAAATTATGCAAATGTATTGTTTCAGTATTATATGAAATCTATACTTATATAAAAAGTCATCCTATTTATTAGAAATAGTAGGCAGAAAAGTCAAAAGTAATTAATGCTTGCTGGAAATCGAATGATATTAATTACAGATTTTTTTGGTATTTATAGGTTTGACATTAAAGATTTGTTATGGGATAAAAATTAGAACCGATTTTTTTACCTTTCTGGAAAAGTCAAAGGTAAGTATAGATTTGTTTCATCCCATAGCATCGGTTTAGTTAAGAAAATCCATCAAATCAGTGTTACATGTCAAGCCTATGAATAAAGATTTAATCGGTCAAAATTAAATCTTTATTTTATGTCACCCATAAATAAAGTAGATGTCAAGCCTAAATTGAAGGGTTTAGTTGTCTATATAGTCATTGATTTACGTAAATACATCTAATGTTTAAAGTTTGTGGAGATTGAAAATTCCTTCTTATCTTTTTACAAAAAATCTTATTATTATTGTATGGAAAATCAAACTCATAATGTTGTGTACAAGGAGGTCTTTAATAATATATGATTGTTTGTTTGTCGAATACTATCTTATTGTATAATTTTCCTGCGTATTATTAAACTTTTATTGAATATTGCATCTTATAATATAGTATTCTTCAAATAAATATATCCCGTGCCTCGCACGGGTCACGTACTATATATATCCCGTACATTTTTCTATATACATGTACATAATTTTAAGTCTGGATAAATAGCCTTAAAATTGTGCACTTCGTGCATCGCACGGGCTCTATACTAGTCTAGTCTGTATAGATAAGAGATGAGATTTTTTTTAAACACGTGAGACGTATGCAATAGGATTTTGTAACAAAAGAGATAAGCTCGTGTAGATTTATACTAAAAATAGAAAAAAGAAAAACAAATATTTATTGTCAAACAACGGTTTTGATAAACTAAAAAACAGGAAAAAGGGAAACAAATATTTACACAATTAATGAGCCAATGTTTTTGCCTATTCGGATTTGTCCAACAATTACTATATGTAGGATATATTTAATGATTTTGGCGAGAAAAAGTTTCTAAATTTGTAAAAAGGTTATTCTTTTTATATAATGATAGATGTGTATTTGTATTTTTACTAATATTATTATTATGTTAAAATAAATTGTGTGTATTATAAATATATATATTATCCGGTTTATGAATTTAATTTATCGAGCCCGAAAAGAACTGATTTAATTTTTTGACTAGTCGGACCCGAGAGCCGAATCTTTTCCTTGAACCTCGCCCAAACCCGCGAGCCCAACGACCCGACCCAGAGTGTGTTTCTTGTGAATTAAGATTAATTTACCCTAATTTGTATATTTATGTTCTCGCTCGCCTTAACAGAAAGAGAGAACCGCAGCTTCTACTCAATCTGTTCGAACCCTCTCAATATCTCTCTCTCGCCTTCAATCTTGGCCCGATCTGTAGAGGAAAATTTTTGTCCCGTTCATCAGAAATCTTGTCGTCTTCTTCGTTAACCCTCATCGCCAGATTCTTCCCGTCACTTTCTCTGCAAATCGCCATCACCTTTTCTCTGAATTTCACCCGCCATCATCACCGACCGCCATCCCGTCGCGACCCTTCCTTCTCGCCGACGAGCTCGCGCAGCTCGGAACCATAGCTGAAATCTGGCGAAGACACAAGGCCTGACGCCACCACGAGATGCCGCCGCTGAAGCCGACGACCTCTCCTCTCCGGGCCTGCAACTCCGACGATCTCCCCGTCGAGTCCTCCTTCGCGGCAGCCCCGCCACGCCGCGGCCAGAGCTCCCGCCGCGCCGCGACCACCCAGACACGCCGTGCAGCACCTCTGTTGCGATCGAGCCGCCGTCCTCAGCCTTTGGTGCCCTCCTGGAGAACCTCCATAGCCGCCGGCGACTCCTTCCGACAAGCAGCAGCGCCGTTCGAGTTCACCGATCAGTTCACCATAGTAGCGGTCCGTCCGGCGGAATGAGCAACGAGTAGCAGCGAAATTAGCCGGGGCGGTTTTGTCTGCGAGCAGCACTTCGCGTGCCGAAGCCGAGTCCATTAGCGGTTGAAATCCAAGCAGTAGCCCTTGCCGGCATTTTTCTCTTCAGTGTCGCTTGTCACGTGTAGTCGGTTTCTTTTCCGAGTAGCAGCAGCGGCCGATTCTATTTGGACGGGCTGCGGTGGTCCTTGTTCCTAAGAGTTTTGCCATTGTAAGTAGTAGCCGGAGTCCCAGCAGCGGCCCTCTCTTGTTTAATCGTGAGCCGTTCACCCTGCGAGTTAGCCGTCCACCTACGCCTATGCCGTTTTTCGATCGTATCCCGAGAACGGTACAAGGCTCGAACACCGTCTCGTTTAATCTTACGTATTATGTCATGTGTGCGATTATGTGAGATGGGTGTTGAATGTGCTTCGTGAATTTAAATTCATGCCTTAGATGAATATGTGTGAGTTTTATTATTTAATTGCAAATTGGAAATCAAAGTGATTGCCGTCACTTTGAATTATTGTCGAAATGAATATAACGTGGTTTATTTCATAGAAATCCTGGAGTTGTAGGTACTTGGAGTTGTCCTTGATTTATTGGTTTTGGTTTGAGGTCGTTTCGAGTTGTATATAGGGAGATATGACTTTTCTAAACCGAGCATGATGCTGAACGGTAATAAATTCACCATAAATCGAGTTGTTATCCGTTTGGGCTGAATTTTTGATATGTTGTGCCTCTGAGTATGTGGAACGTGTGTGCCAAGCCCCTGATTTTATCTTCGATTTTTTGGTGTTCAAATGCTTAAAACGGTTTCTGGGCAGAAACTTGTAGAACTCATTAAAAATCGTACACTTGGTGGTTTGAGCTGAAACTTGGAGGAACATGTTATTTTGTGATGTTTTATCTTGTGTAAAAATTTCAGACTGAAACTCGAAGTGTAGCTATGCGAACCATTAAATGCCGGTTTTGGCGCTGTTTTCGCTTAAATTATTTCAAAATGCTCTCGGATGAATTTAGGGCTGAAACTTGGTGAATTTATATGTTTTTTCATTCTTTATCATGTGGTAAAGTTTCAGGTCGATTGGCTGAGCCTAACTCCTAGTTCTGAATTTAGTTCATTTTGGGGTCTAAATGCTTGGTTATCGGTTGTTTAGGTTAGGATTGAATTTTATTAATGTTGGCATGATTTATGTGTATTATATGAGGTATTTGAGTTGTGTCCAGGTCTGGTAGTCACTCCATAGTACCTAATTCGGTCAAGGAATCCACGAGTCACTTAGTCGTATGATTTCGGCTAAGTATATGTGCCTTTTGTATTGTTTTGTATTGGATAGTAAGTGATAGGTTATTGTAAACTTCTGTAGGTTTTTCGAGCTGAACTTGTGTCATAATTCCTTCAACTCTGTGTTTGGCTATACCTCTTGCTATATCCAGGTGGGTTGTTATTCTAAAATCGTCTATGCAATAATTGTTTACATTACTTGTATATGATCAATGTATGCTTACGAATCATGTAGCCTTCGATGTGAGCTGTACCGGCCGTCGAACGGTTGTCCCGTATTTATGATAATAAACCCGAGGGGTTACTCCTACTGACCGGGCATCGATGGAAGCTCGTGGGGCGATTCGATGTGTAGGACCGGAGGGCATAGATGTAGAGCCCATGGGGCATTCGAAGTATGACCCAAGCGAGGGCCTTCGATACATCTACCGGCAGTAGTCTATTGGTATAGATGTGCACATGAGTCTGAACACTGTGAATTTACGATGAAACCTGGGATACTTAAATTGATTCATATACATGCTGTGATCGTACCATCTCTGTTACTGTTTTGATATGTAAATGTTTATTGCATAGTGGTGAGCACTACGATTTTCAATTGTGCTCATCCCCACCTGAAATTAACGTTTCAGGTTAAGTAAGGCGGATACGACGGCGGAGTAGAGCGAGTGGTAGTCGGTCTATGAGACCAGTCATTAAATGATTTTGCTTCCGCTATCTTTATGACTATTTACGATTTACGCATTTTCGAACTTGAAAATTTACGATGTATTGAGATACTGTTGGGGAGATGCCCGTTGACATTGTCATGTCTCAAACACTCGAGTTTGATTTTGGGAACCCGTTTAGGAAAACTGATGATTTCTGAATTTATGGAGTTATGGATCCCAGTTTGGGAGTTAGATTATTTATGTTATGAATTGATGTTATGTCGTTTGAAACATAAGTAACGCCTTAAATATGTTCGAAATAAATTTGAAAAATTTATTCTGATTTTCGGCAAATAAAAGTGGGTGTTACAATGACATTGTCTAATATTTGCCTACCTTGAACAAAAGCTGATTGAGCAGGAGAAATGCAGTAAATGCAGTGGTGAAGGACAAGTTTCAGCCTGTTGGCAATGATTTTAGAGATGATTTTGTAGATAACAGAGCATAGGCTTAGTGGTCTCAGGTCAGAAATGGCTTTTGGTTTTCTTATTTTTGGAATGAGGGTGAAGACTGTGTGGTTTATGTTTTTTAGCATTCTGCCATTGGTAAAGAGGGATTGAACAGCTTTACAAAGAAGAGTTTTGAGGGTAGGCCATGATTTTTGGAAGAAGGCTGGGCTCATCCCATCAATGCCAGGGGCTTTGCCCTGCTCCATCCCCATTAAAGCTTTTTTGATCTCCATTTCCTCAACAGTTCTGGTAAGGGCAGCATTCATTTCCTCAGTGATGGACATAGGGATGCCATCAATATTGCAAGAGTTCAGAAGTGGGTGAGATGTTCTGTACAGATTGACAAAGTAGCTCTTGACTTCACTCAGTATTTCCTGGTCAGTTCTGCAAGTTCTCCCAGAAGAGTCCTTCAGATTGCTAAGGCTGTTGAGGGCCCTTCGATGTTTCACTGATGCTTGGAAAAATTTTGTATTGCGGTCTCCTGCCCTCAGCCATTGGACCCTCGCTTTTTGTTTCCAGAAGAGTTCTTCTTCTGTGTAGGCTGAGTGCAACCTATTCCTTGTCTGATGCCATTCCTCCCAGTTTCTGAAACCACCTTGAGCTTCCATCTTCTCAAGATCAACTGTGCAGGTCTTAATGGTTTTTGCTGAATTGGTGAGTTTGTGGCTCTTCCAACCTAGAATGGCTTGCTTGACATTCTTGATTCTGGCCATTAGACTGTATAGGTCTGGCCCTTCCACATTCAAGTTCCATGCCTGCTCTACAAGCTCATTTTAAACTTCAATATTTACCCATCGAGGGTCAAAATAAAACCGCTTTTTGAAAATCCTCTTGGTACAATCATTCTCCAGAATAAGCATTTTGTGGTCAGATGATGCAAGAGAAGTATTAGTAACCTAGGTGATAGGTTGAAAAATGTGCGCGTTTTATATATTTAATAGTGTATTTTTATACACTTACTTTATTTGTACGTTTATATTTTTCGACTTATTTATTATTTGGATGGATTCATATACATTGATATTTTTATATTTATTTTTAGCTCATTGGAGTATTTTATGAACGCAAAGCGTTGGACGGAAGTTCACGTAATCAATTATGAAGACGTCCAGTCCCATTAATTTGACCCGCCGTTGCACAAGAATCTTAGGCCCAATTTGCATGGCCCAAGAGATTAATTACAAGATACTCAGCAATACACACGCAGCCCTCATTTATTTAATTGGAGGAGGTGCCTAGTTGATGAGGATTTATTTGCTGAGAGTTGTGTACATTGAGGAGACTTAGGCCATTCAAAACAAACTTGGAATTTATTTGTGGGAGAGTGAAAAAAACGCGAGGAAGGCATTATTTATTTGCGGGGATTATCATATTTTCGCGAGAGCAGAAAGGAAGAAAAAAAAAAGAACGCAGACAGAAACTAACACACGTACGGACCGAGAGAGAAGATCACCTAAGCGGAGGGAAGCCGCACTCGCACACGAGGGAGATTATATTTCTCTCTTTTATCTTTTTATTTATTTTTATTAGTATGTTAGACTAGTATTTTTATCCAGTTTGAGGGGATGTTTGAACCCTAACTTTGATTTGTCTATGGATTGAAGGATTTATTTTTATCGTTGATTAATCGAGACGCCGTATTTATTTTTGTTGATGAGTTGATTCATGTTATCTGTGTATAATGTTTATGAATTATGGTGTTTGATTTAGTCTGGCCAACTACGTTAAATATTCATAGTTTAATTGCTAGATTCGGGACTTTAATCCATAATTGTTATTGTCTCGTTTCGTTAGTAGTAAACTAGGGGTCGTGCATCTCTAGGGTAGCGTGAACATAAGTTAAATGGTCCGAGCTTTTGCGTCCATTGCTTAGATCAATCTATTTTCCTAGTAATTAATGCTGCTAGTGTATTAAATCTAGAGAGCTTATTCTAGGTTGTCCGCTAGTTAGGTTTAGTCGAAGAGCTTATTTCGATTAAATATTCGGTAAGGGAAAATTCGGTTAACAGAGCTTGTTGTTAGCTAGGGTTGGTAATTCATTAGCAATTTAGAGAAAGCGTCGAAATTAATTAACGGTAGATTTAGATTGGGTGATAACTGAACCGAAAACTGGACTTCTCTTATTTTATTTGATTTTTATTTTATTTTCTTATTTTTATTTTTATTTTTATAAAACCAATTCCCCCCACCTTTTATTGCTTTCCTAGTTTAATTCAATTAATACGAGATTGTCACAATTTAATTCCTGCTCCTCGTGGGATCGACCCTTACTCGCCGCTACTACTAGTTAGTAGAGGTTTGTTAAGGAAAAATTATAAATTTAAATTTGCCGTGTTGCGACGCGCGGTCACTGGGCACGAGGATTAGCTAAGGACCAGTCAGGAGAGCAGAGAATTCTATCAAGTTTAACCTCAATAAAATCATTCCTAGCTCTTTGATTGTTCCAAGTGAAAGGATGACCTACCCATTCAACTTCCACCCCCCAAGCTGTGGACAAAGTCTCTAGAAGGTTTAAGGCTGCTATTCGTTCGAAGTCTACCCCCAGCTTTTTCACTATTATCCAAAATGTCATTGAAGTCTCCTCCTATGAACCAATGCCTACCCCAAGACATCCTATGCCTTAAGAGGAAACCC